TGCTTGATTTATCACATTTTGGGGGCTAAATAGTCAAATTTTATATAGAGCACAGGCCTGCCCCAAATTTATTTAGGGTTCAGTTTAAAACTAACATCTAAAGGTTTCTATTCATGAAAAAAATTTGTGGGGCAGAAGTGTGCTCATACCTTAAAAAGAACATTTCCACAAAAATCCGAATTTCCTCAGTTTTAACCCTTTTGCCCCTTGTAAATTATATGGTTACAGATTTTGTTAGAATACAACACATTTTTCACAAAAAAGTATCATACTGCGATTTTTCAGTTGTTCACTAACACTTTAGTAGGTGTATAGGTTCACTATTTAATTGGGGGGGGGGGGGGGGAGGGCAGTTTACTTTAAATAGTTGATCCCACAGGAGGTAAACAAATATCTTCGGACTTTTTTTTTGAAGTCATGCGTATAAAACGTATGTATCATGTATCAGCAAAAGAAAAGGATACATTAAAAAATACAAAATAAGAGCTACAGAAATTTAAAAAAACCCATTAATTTTGAAGTTGTGTACAAATACTGAATATATTCAAAGTCATATTCGCTATTGACGTATTGTTATTGTTTGGCATTGCTCAGTAAAATGGACAACACGAAATACGCACGTACATGTATAATTATACCACGTAAAATTCTACAACTTCATCCTCAATTAAAACCATGGCTTTTCTTTTAACCATGTTTGTATACATTGATATATCAGCCTATTCGAACTACAATCAGGAAGACATGGTCTACAGCAGGTGAGAAGTGAAAGTAAAGTTTTCACTAAATACCAGAAACGACATAAAACGCTTTATGAAATAAATAAAGACACATTAATTTTTTTTTTAATTCCTACTCATACTGATTACATGTAGCTTTTGGGTTAATTCTTCAAGGAAAGCAAATCCTCTGTTTCAGGCATTATTGGAGCTATGAAGGTCCTAGGAAGAAATATTGGGGGTGGAGGTTGCAGCCACGTCACGAACCCACAAAAATACCAGGACTAGCAGGAATAAAGAACGTAAACGTATAATATTGTTAGGGGATAAAGCCGCAATTTATCAATATTTATCTAATATCTTTCAGTGTTAATTGGCAATAGTAAGGCATACAACACCCTAGTTCAGAAAAACTGGTCTTTAAATATATCTTTTACACTTACTTAAAATTACTATGTCAAATTCAGAGCCTCCTTCCTCCCCTTCGACGGTACAAGGCGGACGACTTGAATACAAAACCGTTTCTTCTTCCTTTTTTTGAGGGGGGGGGGGGTGTTCCAGCCTGCACAAGTACTGATTGATTGTTATGTAATACTTTGGTTGAAAAGAAAACTTACCAAAATAAAATTAAAGTTTCCCTAAGATTTTTCCCTCGGTCTGATTCCCGTGAGATATTGCATTTGATTTGTTCATCCATTGTTTAGTATTATAAAGGGGGGGGGGTTGATTGGAGAGAGGAATATACGTATCTAGCTGCCATGTGAGAAATAAAATGCTATTTCATTGTACAGTACTACTTCTAGACTTTGATGAAATGCATGTGCATGTCTAATTTTCTGTACACTAATTTTCACCAAATTCAAGGTTTAATATTTAATGGGGGCACAATTATGTACTGTTTTATGGTTTTAGAATAGAGGTGTCCAAGGCTAGGACGATCCCCACTTTGAGACAAAAATAATTTCAACTCTTAGTGTAAGAATTCATGATAAGACGTTTTTCAATAATTGCCTTGTCAGAGTCATCTTTTACAAATCTGCCTCTTTTAGTTTATTAAATACTAGTAACTTACTGATTATATAATTTCATTTTTCACTTAGGTTTGTTTTAAGATGTGAGAGAAAAACCCTCACAAGATTCGAACTCTATCCAAAGCTCAAGGTTTGGCATAATACCGAACCCGTTTTTTCTCTTAACCTGAACATGTTAACCACTACGTTACGAGGGCTTTTTGTCATCAATGTATGAATAGAGTGCAATGTATGAATAGAGGTAAATCGTGTTGTTGAATTAAATATCTTTCCATAAATCGCTTTTTATATTGAATGGTTTCGGACTCCATTTTTTGAAATGTAAAAAAGATTTTACATTTACTTTTTCAATCTTTTAAAGATTAATGTGGAATGGAGACTTGGCCCATTTATATTAAAAAAAAACAATTTATAGCCATGACCATTTTCCGGCAAATATGCGTAACTGCATGTCAACTTTAAAAAAAAAAATATCCATTAAGTCATGCAATGAATAGATGAATCAAACGTGTTAAAGATGACATAACTGACAACATAATTTTAGAAAAATAAAACTTTTCCGTGAATTTTGGAAATTGAGAAATATAATGACTCAAATATAATAAAGGGGAGATTAAATTGTTCTCACCTTTTACGCCCTCTTTCTTTTATAAGGCATTTGCAGATTGAATTAATAGCTATAATTGCATTGTAAAGCGCTTTGAGTAGCATTTATGCTAGAAAGGCGCTATATAAATACAATCATTATTATTATAATTTCAGATTCAGTCATTTTTTATATTTAATAGAAGTTTATGCCTTTGTCTTCCAATAAGATGTATGAACATGCTTAACTTTGGTTTCATCATCCTTTTTTCCAAATGTATACCTAGTCATTGAAAATGGTTTAGCCCCCTACTTTCCACAGGCACGTCGCAGTATAGTTAAAAAATGAGGAAAATGGTCGTGTTTGGAGAAAAAAAAAGGCACTGAAGTTTGAACTCCCCCCTACGGAATAGGACTTTCGTCTTTGGGAAATTGACTTTTCCCCTTTTTTGTTTTGCTTGTCATGTTTTTTTTTTGAAGGTATTAAACCCCCCCCTCCCCCCCCACACACACACTTTAATTTGCTTCCGACACCAATATGTCTTTATAAATAAAGGCCTCTTAATACAAATAGAGGCATATAGGAAAAGTAAAACTTTCGGCGGCTTATTACATTTTATTTGATTTTTCTAGCTCATCATACTCAAAGGTGTGTTGTAATCTTAGTAATGCCTTTATCATAACAGTCCACAATAAAGAATTTGTGGTGTATAGTAAAATTAATGTCCGGTAATGTCTAGCAACTTTTAGTGATCTTGTAATTCTTTTACATTAATTTTGTTAATTTCTGAACAGCGTAACTTGGGACATCACCCATGATGATGACTGTCAAGTCCCAGATTCTTTTATGCGAATATTCAGAGGGTTTAATGTTGAAAATGATGGCTTAATGGTTATGAACAATATTGTATCTGTTGATGATAGTGTTTCATGTGGTAGAAAAGGATAAAGAGTTTATTTTCTTAACAATATAGCAAATGTTTCGGCAAAACTGCTTACAAGAATATCTTTTTGCAATCAAAATTCCGTGCAAATTGAATTCAACCAGAGATGCAATATTTCTTTAAACAGATGAATACTGATTGTTATGAATGGGGTGCAAGCGCACTCTCATAGATGACTTATTTGGAAATAAATCCCGTTATCTTATTTTATATTTGTCCGTAGGACAGAGTAGGGCGGGTTCAATATTATTTTGCCTAGTTTCGATACGTACATTTTTATTAAGATGCTGCCCATGGCTTAAAAGGTTAAACACTGGCAAATTCCTGCATTAAATGAAAGTTAGAGGAAGCCACCCACCCCTAACGGAATAGAACTATTTGAGGAGGTGCAGTCACAGGGGCCAGTGATTACTAGTATATTTACTTTTTATGTATTAACTATATAAATATATATTTATATACAAATACGAAGCAAGAAATATTCCTTTTGGTGTATTTAGTGAAGAGGTGAAATCAAACATAGTATTACCGACCCCTGTGGACGCAGTTTATCAGGAGGATCGTTGCTGCATGTTAATTTTTTGTGGAGGTTTTCTCCTCCACCCCCAACCCAAATTTATACATTCAAAAACATTGCTATTGGGCCTTGCATTGTTAGAATCGCACAAAATATAACAGGCAACGTACTTCTATTAAACTGATAATGTCATACCTGGTAGTCAATTATCCATTATCAAGTCATTTCTTTGTTTACAATCAAATAATTTTTATTGTCCTATTTCACGTTACGTCACGTTATACCAATTATGACGTTCCGTTCACAATTTTTTTGTGAAACAAAGCCATACTGCAAACTCTCTTAAAGAAAATGTAAAATAGATATCCAAAAAAGGAAAACAGTTCCATAAAGCTTGAAGTCTATTCTATCTTTTATCGAAATTTCATTAATTTTTTGGATGAGGCATTTTTTTACCATTCGTGGGCTTAACTCTTTCAAGTTGTAGTCAATCAAATTTTTGGATATATACATGAATATATATATATAAACCATTGTTTACACATTGCATAATAGAGAATGACCTGTCACACATCTTGAATCATTTTTTTTTAAAGAAGTAGTCTCATAATTGCAAAGGTATTTGCAAACATATTGATTAATGTTAGGACGCTAAGTTTTATTTGCAAAGGCAGTTGCAGATATAAGAGAATTTCTTTCAAAAAAAAATGAATCAGTGCTTATTTTTTTTTCTAACTCCTTGACTTGTTTTGCAAATTTGATTTCTTTTTTAACTTACATTAATTATCTCTAACCTTAATAACAATGAATTTAAATGATTTCAAATTTTGATTTTCGCTTATGACATTCCTCTTGCATGGTATTTATTGAATGGCAGTCACCACAGTAAAATGTATTGCAAATGTGTCGGATAAAAGAGGTTCCACTGTAATAGGTTTAAAAATAAAGTAATCTAAATCCTTATTCTCCGTCCAGACATCTTCATTTATTATTGTGAATAACAACGAAATATTTCTTTCAAATTTATTACAACACATATAAAGTACATCTTTTACACAATACATTCAGTAGAACACAATTACAATAATTTATTGCTTTACATAATCCTTCATCCCCTGAAAACATATTTGTTTAGTCACTTGATGTCAAACAATCTTACAAAAAAAAGAACCCCATGATAAATGTTGAATTTAAAACCGTCTCTTTAATCAAAATGGATTCGTCTTATTGATGGATGATCTTTCCTCTGTTAAGATAAAAGAATTCAATTAATGTTTCACAGAAATCAGAACATATTTTACTTTGAAAATCCTCTTATAACCTCTTGAAATTTTCACAGTAATACAAAAATAAAAAAAAAGCTCTGTTATATTATGATTTAATGATGTTTACCTAGTGGCGTCTGACCATCATGGTGGTTCCCTTTACTGATGTCCCACTCTGTACTGTGGGATACCATGGGTAGGACCAGCGTGCCGGGGACCATTGACCGTTAAGGAAGGCGTCATGACAGGCGTTGAACCACCACCCTCCTCTTTTGTTACTGTCAAAAGCACAGTTATATCCAGCTTTGTCGTTATCTCTGTCCGGGGTACTGAAGGACATCCCAGACAGATCGTGGCTTCTCATGCTGTCTCCTGAAATACAATATTATAACAATATAAAAAGACACAACAGTAATAACCAGTCAATCTGACATTGCCTTATCATGCTGTCTCCTGAAATACAATATTATAACAATATAAAGAGACACAACAGTCATCTCCAGTCAATCTGAGATTGCCTTCTCATGTTGTCTCCTGAAGTACAATATTATTTAAGAAATAAGGTATCATTTTTTGAGTTTTATTGGGATGTAAAATGGTTTGGTCACGTGATCAAATCTCATAAAGCCCGAAGGGCTTTATGGAAGATTTGATCATGTGCCAACCCGTTTTACATCCCAATAAAACTCAAAAAATGATACCTTATTACTTATATTTACATTTATGACTATTTATTACAAATAGTAACGTACTAACTAAAGTTTGAAACCCAAAACGTTATTTTTTCAAAACTCAACGGATTGTGTTTATAACGTCGATCGCTTATGACGTCACTATTAAGCCACGTAGATCGATTGTGACTAAACAATCAATTTATGGTCACATGACCAACTTGTTTTACGGAGATGTAAAAACTTCTTGTTTAAATAGTTTTATATAAGGAAAAACATTCTCAAATGTAAATATAACAATATAAAAAGATACAACAGTCATCTCCAGTCAATCTGACATTGCCTTCTCATGCTGTCTCCTGAAATACAATAATATAAAAAGATACAACAGTCATCTCCAGTCAATCTGTCATTATCTTCTCATGCTGTCACCTAAAATACAATATTATAAAAAGATACAACAGTCATCTCCAGTCAATCTGACATTATCTTCTCATGCTGTCACCTAAAATACAATATTATAAAAAGATACAACAGTCATCTCCAGTCAATCTGTCATTATCTTCTCATGCTGTCACCTGAAATACAATATCATAAAAAGATACAACAGTCATCTCCAGTCAATCTGTCATTATCTTCTCATGCTGTCTCCTGAAATACAATATTATAAAAAGATACAACAGTCATCTCCAGTCAATCTGTCATTATCTTCTCATGCTGTCACCTAAAATACAATATTATAAAAAGATACAACAGTCATCTCCAGTCAATCTGACATTATCTTCTCATGCTGTCACCTAAAATACAATATTATAAAAAGATACAACAGTCATCTCCAGTCAATCTGTCATTATCTTCTCATGCTGTCTCCTGAAATACAATATCATAACAATATAAATAGACACAACAGTCATTTCCAGTCAATCTGTCATTATCTTCTCATGCTGTCACCTAAAATACAATATTATAAAAAGATACAACAGTCATCTCCAGTCAATCTGTCATTATCTTCTCATGCTGTCACCTAAAATACAATATTATAAAAAGATACAACAGTCATCTCCAGTCAATCTGTCATTATCTTCTCATGCTGTCACCTAAAATACAATATTATAAAAAGATACAACAGTCATCTCCAGTCAATCTGACATTATCTTCTCATGCTGTCACCTAAAATACAATATTATAAAAAGATACAACAGTCATCTCCAGTCAATCTATCATTATCTTCTCATGCTGTCACCTAAAATACAATATTATAAAAAGATACAACAGTCATCTCCAGTCAATCTGTCATTATCTTCTCATGTTGTCACCTAAAATACAATATTATAAAAAAATACAACAGTCATCTCCAGTCAATCTGTCATTATCTTCTCATGCTGTCACCTAAAATACAATATTATAAAAAGATACAACAGTCATCTCCAGTCAATCTGACATTATCTTCTCATGCTGTCTCCTGAAATACAATATTATAACAATATAAATAGACACAACAGTCATCTCCAGTCAATCTGACATTGCCCTCTCATGCTGTCTCCTGAAATACAATATTATAACAATATAAATAGACACAACAGTCATCTCCTGTCAATCTGACATTATCTCTGTCTCGGGTAGAGAATGATCCAAGACAGATCTGTGGTAAAATAACCAGTGTCTAACGTAGAGTCACCTGGAAAATCAAACAAAAGCCATTACAGAGTATATGGATTTATATATCGTCAATCTAATTGTCAATAATGACACTGAGGTACTTCTAAGATAGACGGCACTAGGTGCTGGAAAGAGTGATAATATTAATTTAGTTCAGTCCTAGAATTCCCAATATCTATCATACTGGCACCTGCAGAATTAGAGAAAATATATAACAGAGATAATAATTAATAATTTACATCACATTAATCTTAATACTGAAGTAAGTCTAAGATACACAGTTTAAGGTGTTGTTTCTTGTTAAGAGAGATAAAAAAAAATACAAGCCAACAAAACACTGCGGTATTCATATAGCATCCTATATAGCGGTGGTTGCAAAGATCACTGAAAATATCACAAAACATGAATAAATAAAATATTCGTATATGTCAGAGACCGTGCCTTTAAAAATATATAAAATACAATACGAAGTAAATCATTCAAAATTTTAACGATATAAGAAATAGTGTAACTGTTAATGTTTTAAAATATTAGATTTTCATTAGATAAAGCATATGTATTGTTAATGTGAAAAGCATTGAGATGTTTTAAATATGGCTTTTTAATTTTTTTTTTTCAATTTAAATGTATCTGATCAAATACTTTTTTCTACTTAGTATCACTTGATATTTAAGCTTAATGACGCTCTGTAAAAGTCATTCCGTAGTAGTAAAATGTTATTTTCAAATTTTAGCTTTCTGGCTATAAAAAATTCAATGTTTGCAGAATTAGAGAATTGAACATGCAGATGATATTCTGAAATTTTATTAAACATACTTAGTGTGCGCTGAATCAAAAAGAATACCAGGAAAAACGTATCTTTTTTCAAAAATTTAATAATGATTCAATACAAACATGTATTTTTATCATAAAATGCGTAATGTAAATCTAACTTTAAGAACTTAACGTAGATACACTTACCTAAGGTTCCCGTGGCAGGTCCTGCAAGAAAGAGTTGATATTTTCCAACTTCATTGGAGACAGAGAATCCATTGTACATTTCATAAAGTGTTGTGCCATTCTGTAGAGTTATGGTCACATACAGGGATGAGGTGTTTTCTTTTGTTAATTGATGGATTACGTCATTTCCTGTATTAAAAATTCCATTGATTCTTATTTGAATTTAATCATACCTTTTTGAGTAATCAAACTACTTTCCTGTTTTAAGATATATTCAAAATCAATAGCTAAGTGTATTACAATAATATTGTTTCGTAAAAATAGCCCAAGGGAAAATAATATAACAATCTAAAGATTTTTGTAAAATGCATTGTTTAAAACTGTATCAGACTATATGCCCATTGTATAGTATTTAAATGCATGTTATTTAACTACGTAGATACAGATATCTATAATCTGCTCCTATATCATGCTTTATTTAGATTTTCGAGGGTTGTCCTGGAAAATCGTGGACAGGATGTTTCTTTTTTAAAATAATGGCACACTAAGCTGAAATTTTCAGTAAATGTTTATTTATCACACTGAAGTGCATCATAATTTTTTGATAAAATTATTGACAGAAATCAAGATTTTATTATTCTTGGATGTGTACAGGTTCGGTCCTACGGTTCACGGTAAAAACAAAAACAAAGGTTATATTAGAGAATACATGAGTATTGATTCGGAATATCAGATTTAAACACATAAGATTGTGGCGAAAATTATCCTTATTCGCTTCCACAATTTATTT